TAATTGAGAATCATTTATGCATTAAAAGTAGATTTACTCGAAAAACTATGTTCCACAAAAAGTGTTTTAGAAAGATTTAAGATTTGACATACCAGTGAGATTGACTGCTGTTTCTGTTCAAGTTAAAACTCCACAAACACTATATCATTAAACATGATTAAAATGATTCGGTGTCTTATTCAAGACAAATACAAAAAAGGGTTAATTGCCAATCATCCGGAGAGTCGGCATTAGTGAAACTTGGAGTCTTTTTGGGTGTCTGTCTGCCTGAGAGTCCGATTGAGATGAACTGGAAGTCTGGAACAGCAAATAAAATTTATTAGAGAATAAAAGAAAATTTAATCAAGGGGTAGGAACAGCATGCACAAAATTAAAATGGAGAAAGCAGTGGACTTGAGAGACAAACAAAAAACAGAGAGATGGAAAGAAGAATATTGACTTGTGTTGAAGAAAAGAGGAGAGGGACAAAAGAGCAGAGGAAGAAGATTGGTTGATTGAGAAATGGAAAATGGGAAACAAAGAAAGGGGAGAGGAGTACGTCTGGACTCTGGAGATTGGAGTGGGTAAGAGTTGGTAAGAGTGGGTGGAGCAGTTCCTGATTTCCAGTGAAGGGTCTGAGCTTTGAAGGGCCTCAACGCCAATGCAGAACCAAATGGAAGCACACGCGGGACGATATGGAAGTCAACGGTGATGCTGAAGAGTGAGGGGCGTCTCGGTGATGCTGAAGAGTGAGGGACCATGGACTGAGAGGAGAGGAAAGGACGGTTCAGAATTCTGAAGCATAGAATAGTCAATTCTTACCAAACCCACATGGGTTTCTTTAGGAAGCAAAGAACGGAAAAAGAAAATAAAGGTGCGAAAGTGGGTTGAAGGAAAAGGACAATTACTATCTTCTACCTTTACCTTGTATATATACCTTGTATATAAGAATCCAGCCAGATTTAATGCTTTCCTTTCCTCTTGCCACGTGGTTCCTTAATTATCTGACAAGTGGCAAGTAAAGTGTTTCTTACAAAGCTTCTCTTGACCGACCGAAGTCTTCTATTTCTTTTCCTTCTTTTGCCATTCCACCGTCTTCCCCTCAAATTGCATTGAAGCCTTTTCCTGCTCTCTCTACCACGCGCCTATTCTGAGCAAAATTCAGCACACCTATTCTGAGCAAGTCCCATCCCAACCGGCTATGCTACCAAACCCACCATCTCATCTCTTTGTGACTTCCTTCTTTAAGCCAACAGGTCAGCTGCTACTCCTGCAGCCGCTTGATTTGCTGATCATTCACATGGCCTTTGTACTTCAGAGCAGGAGAATTGGGTGCAGGTGAACTACTTTGCTTACACTAGCCGTTTTTCCCTCTTTCTCTGATATCCAATTAACCCGTTTCTGTATCGATTTCGTCTCATGTTGCCGAATTGTTGGAGCCTCACGTGATAGTTGTACTTCAAAGGAGTGAAATGGGGAATTTTTTTTTAGGTATGCCATTCTATTCTGATCAGCTTTGGTATTCAATTTTCCACCCAAATTATGCTTTCTATTCAACATTCATCATCCGTATGATTACGATTACAAATATCTGCTTGGATGTGATTTTTCCCTTATTCCAGTTCTGCTGAGAAGTAGGATTCCTATTCACTTAGCCTGTACCTTTTATCTGTATTTGCACGTCTCTTTCTCTAATCACACTCTCATTCTAACCTTCGTTCACTCTGGTTTTGGCTTTTTTCCCTCTTGATTCGGTATGTGCTATTTCATATGGAAGTACAATTTTTTGTTATTTCCTTTTTGGTTTGAACATTTGTTTTTTCTTCTTTTTATTTCCTTACCAGGGTTTAATGAATCTAAATTTTGTTCGAATATAGTGTTGATTTTTTTGTTGGATTTTCACAACAGATGAAGATCAGAAATAGGTGAATTTATTTTGTTCTCATTTTCGGCTGTGATGATACAATATTGTTGCCGTGAGTTGTGTTTCAGGCTTGATACTAACTGGATTTAAGCTGTATCTTGGCGAGGCAACTCAGATGGCATTTTGGAGTATATATTATTCCAGAACTGCAACTGAGTTTGCAGCCATGGTTGTGCTCTTCTTCTTCGCCTGCCATTGACAAACAAATTGGAGCTTTACTTTTAATTGTCAAAGTTCATTGTTTTTTTCATTTATTAGTCCAACGGTAGCTTAGTTTGTTCTTCCGAAATTCTCGTACAAATTCAGTTCTACTTCAAGTATTATTACTCCCTGTTTTGATGCTTTCTTATCACTTATCTCAGGTATGTTATGATCCCTTACAATGATTGCTTATGTTATATTTGCTTCATTAACTCAAAACATGGTTTTAGTATGACACTGCCTTCAAGTGAATATGTGAAATCTCATAGGCATGGCTATCAAATGTTTGATGAAATGTCTGTCTGAAACTTGGGATAATTGGTTCTTAGGTTGATTGCAAATGCAACAATAAATCTAGATGGTGTTTTTTGGATCTCTTGAGAAGGTTCTTTAAACAAAAGAATTGCTTCATTTGTGTTTCTATTGATATCTAAAACTAATAAATTAGCTTTATTTTGAATCAAATGTTGGCCATTTGATGGATTTTAGAGTAATCTAAGTGGTTCAACATTGTCACTCAACTTGCTGTCCAGATTCTTCTTCTTCTCTGCATTGAATTCACTGGTAAGTTTCAAAACTTATGTTAACTTAAAGGTCTTTTCCAATTTTTTCCTATTTTTTGAAAACTGAGTGTAGCGTAAAATGATTGTTTTTTGCTTCTTTTTTGGTGGCTTGATAATATCAAACTCTTAAGAAAAAGTTCCGAGCTCATTCAGGACCGCCAGCTCCCCAGGGCACTCCTTTTTTATATCTGAGAAGCACCCTCCGATGTAGCATTTTGGTGCTGTAGGATATGGGGTCACTGAAACAGGGAGGTTGTAGCCATCCACTATACTTACGTCGTAGAAACTCGGCTGCCTCTTGTCAACCTGCAACGTAAACTCTACTAGCGTCACAGGAGGAACGCCGATCACCCCGGCGCATTCGAGTCGCCCGTTGCAGTCGCCTGTTTCACAGGCTCGTCCGTCGTTGGAGTAGTCGAAATTGCAGCCTGTTCTGGCCCAGATGCGGCCACTCGAATCTCCTGGTGCCTGGAATTTCCGGAGTCTCCCGGATGGAAGATAGAAGCCACCGTTTGCTACGACTGGAAAGCCTTGGTTCGGGGCAGTGGCAGGCCATGTGGGAAATGGGCACTTGTTGCTCACGTAAAATGTGCATGCTTCCACAACTCCACTACTGCCTATGGGTTACGTTAAACTATAAACGATGCAAAAGAAGAATGCTTTTTCATTTATTTGGTGAGTATCTGAATGAATTTTTGTTGTTATTGTAGGAGGCAACAAATTAAAACAAATCTTGCTACCATCAATTGAGTAATAGGTATTTCTTGCTTCTTTTTAGCTGTTAGGTTATTCAAAAATGTTTTGTTTTATTCTTGCTGCTAATTGGAGAAATAAGTGAGTCACAGAAGAGTAATTTTTCTTATTTGGAATCTATAGGGCTATTTGTTGAGTTCAAATGCTTGTGCTCTTCTTTTAGCAAAGCTTTTATTAACTAATAATCTGAGCCTTAATTTTGATTGTCAAATTCAATTGTTGAATTATATTTAATAATTTGTATGTCTTGAGCTTGTGATTCAATTTTAGCTTTATTTCTGTAGCTTTGACTATTTTACTATTTTTCTTGCTATTTAATTGCCTACTCTATGATACTGACAAAAAATTCTCGGTACTTCTAATAATTTTTTGTCCCTGCTCTTTTCTTCCTTGTACTCCTGTAGATGTTAAAACTCTACTTTGAAGCTAGAGTTTTGAAATTAGCATGCTTAAGTTGCCAATAATTTTTAAATAATGACAATGCTAAATATGAGCAAATTTAATCTACTGAAAAACTGAGCATTTTCTTGTGAAAATAAAGTTGGGAAATGATTATTATTCTATGGAAATGATTATTATTCTAAGTTCTAAGTCATTAGATTCTCTACCTAGACACTTTGTCCTTACCCGAGCATTCAAATGCAAGGTTAATATTTTTGTCCTTACCTGAGCGTTAAAATGCAAGGTTAATATTTAGAATGCAACCTTATTTATTCTTTTTATAAATTTTTAAAATTATTTATACTTTAAGGGAAAATAAATACCAAAATTGATATTTTTTGTCTAATGAGAGTATAAACATAATGAGAAGGGGTTTAAATGCTAGGTTAATTATTTACAAAGCATATATAAGTGCATCGTCTTTATTTAATTTTATAAACACTCTCCTTATTCCTTGGATTAGTGACAGGAAGAGATATGAAAAATTGATAAATTTTTCATAATACATAGAGATTGGATAAGAGATGATTTAATTGATGGCACATTTTTTGCAATAAGACTACATGTGTGTGCTAGGGAAGGTGTATTATTACAGTTTATACTCTGCTTTGGATTTTTTTCATTTATTTATCTGTTTTTATGGCCTATTAGATGTAAGTTTCAATTTTGGTTATCATGAAGTGTTTATCCTCTTAGTTGTGTCTTGGAAAGTTTAGTTTTCTGACATGTTTTCTTGAACCTTTTATATTGAAAATTTATAAATCCTCACTAGATGTTGGACTCATTTTTGTGTATTTCATGAGGATGTCCCTTTTGTGTTTTTTTTTTTGTGCGTAGGGTTACTTCTTGACAGCAATCAATTAATCTCAATGGGCATTGGCTGTGATCAATTAACCACTTGTTCTTTTGTGCACCTTATTAACATATATAGTAATTAACATATATAGTAAATGTGTGAATGCCAATCCCCCCAATTGAACCCAATTGCTGACGTGGCACGCTGTGATTGGCCGATTGATGGTAGTCCTCCGTTGATTGAGCTGATGAATTGAATTGAGGACAAAATCGAGATTTCACGCCTTGCTGAATAGGTAGGGTTCCTGAGAGTCTTCACTTGCGCTGCACATTGTGTGTCTTGCTTCTGCTCCGTCTTTCTTCCGTTCTTCTCCGATTCTTTCTCCCTTTCTCTTTTCTTTGTCTTTCACTTCTTCTCTTTCTTCTTTAATTGAACATTAAATAACAGTGCAAGACAAAACAAAGGTCACACGTTGGGCTTTTTCTTACAAGTTAAAGGGTATCTCCAGAGCTTCTCTCCCCTTCCATTTTTCTTTTCTTTGTTCCTTTCTTTGGGAAGAAAATAAGATTCGGGATTTTCTCTCCCAGAGATGTCAAAATGTTTTTCCTCCTCTTAGTTTCTCTTCATCTCTCCAGTCTTTTTCTACACCGCCATCTACCCAAATCTTTCTTCCTCTCATCAGTTGAATCATGAGTACGCTGGATCATCCACCATTATAAAAGCAAAATATATATATATATATATGGAGATCATTTTTCCCTTTTAAACTCTTCTTCATCTCCTTCTCAGAAATTGTCATCTTTATCGGTGATTTTTGTGGGTTTTTTTTCCTAATACTCGATTGTACTTTCTATGGTGTTGTAGGTGGAACGGTTGAATATTTACATGGACTACAGATTCAAGGTAAGTGTCTTCCATGACTTTTCCTTATCTTTAAACCCAGATTCAAGCAAATTCTTTTTCTCATATGCTTTTACTCTTATCTCTAAGGTTTTTTTTTTTCTGTTTTTTCGTATTGCTTTAAGAAGGAATAATTTGACTTCCGTATAATGTATTGTGCTCTTTATGATGTTTTGGTGAAACAATTTTTTTGTTTTTGTTTTGGGTTTTTTGCTGTTGCTGTAATTTAGGGATTTTTTTTATGGAGAGCAGTGAAGGAGGGGATGATAATGTTCTGGACGGTTTAGCAAGTCAAAAAAGGTTTGCTTTTTTTCATACCCTTTTCTAAATAATCAAGAACATTATAATTGTACTTTTTTGGATTGAAATATGTTATATTTCACAACATTTTGCCAAAGGATTGATAGGGAATGGCTTTGGAAATATGCTTTGAACAATCAATTGTATGCATGTAGAAAATTACTCCAGTTCTTTTGTTTGATTTGAAAAATGAGGTAGTGTATTTTTTTGGTGATACAGGAAGTTTTCTGAAGCAAGACTTATCACTTGAGATATGATAAGTGAATGGGTGAGAAAGTTGAAGTTTTGATGTTAAAAATCACATTGGAAATGGTGATACATTTGACCATAAACCTTTTACGAATGAGAAATTTTTTTGCTTTCACTGGACTAGAATGCACCTACTTTTACACTTTTTTTCTTCATTCCCCCAATTTTTTTGTCTCCTATGTTTCAGAATTTTTTGTCTAAATGTTTTCTTTTAACCCGAAAAAGTAGAAATAGGCTTTTGTGTGTGCCTATAGGGGTTTAAAAAGTAAAGGCACTTTTAGAGTTAAATAAAAATGAATGGTGCTTGTTAAATTGGTTGCTTCGGAATATGACGAAATTGGGAGGGGCATTGCAAGAGTTAATTCAGTTTGAGGGCGTTCTCCAGTTATGATTCTGGGTACTCGTGTATTTGCCATACTACCTATCTTTACTGCCTTGAAATTTAGCGGGGTTCTATCTATCTCTATTGATTGCAGTTATTATTTCTTAGCAGCTGAAATGTCTTAAATTTAGCGGATAGAGCAGCTGATGTTCTATGTTCAAATTTCCCAACTCTTGTTTAGTTGTTGTTTCGGTTTTTCAAAATAACTGAAATCGTCAATTTTCTTGGTTCTTGTTCATGTCTCTGCCATTGCAAGGGGACTTTGACTGCCATTTCCAGGTTGGTCTTTTGGCCCATGTTCCAAAGAATCATCCAAAACATAATGAATCTGTTATTAAACTACATGGTATTCTTCGTAATGTCAAGATTTGGGAAGCTGTATGATGAAATCTTTATTTCATAGTTGATTTTTCTGGTTTTGTGGTTTTAATGTGCAAAGTGAAATCATTATTATGCCTAACTTCCTTGAAGATGTTTTGATCAGTTCATGATTCATGAGATACATAGTTATATGAATTAGGTAAATGTAGTTTCAAAAGCAAAATCCATGTAATCTATTATGAAGATACCATCTTTCCCCTTTTATATTACTAAAAAAACCTAGCTCAATCTTTGACTGGAAAAAATATGTTCAGGAAATAGTAGTATCCCTGTGCTTCACACCATTGACCTTTGATGTTGGACCCAATTTTGCATTTTTAGAAAAAAGAAAAATTGGAAAATAATGCATAGGAACTTCTTTAGAATTTGCTTCCACATATATGTACAGTGTTTTGTTCCCTATGGGGAAATTACATCAGTGACATTATTTTTATTGATTGATTTTTGTTGGTAAGACTCGCTTTTATACTCTCTCAGTAGATTCTTCTCCTTATACAAACTTATGATTTGTGTAATTTGCTGGTTTACTTTCAGCGACTACATTTCTCATTGTTTTTGGGTAATTGTTTAATAACCATCTATTTTACTTATTTGTTTTCAGGTTATCTTTGTGAACTCTTTACCCTTTCTTCCATATTTTTCTTGCACGATGAGGTGGAATAGTTACAAGCTATCAGAATGTATCACTTCAAGAGGTGGAAACATTTTCAATTCTGATTTTTTTGTACCTGAGCACAAGAATGTATAGAAGGTCTGTTGCTCTATCATGTACTTAATTGTATTTTAGCACATTTCAATTCCAAGTAAATAAGCTCATTTTATGCTTTCTGTTTTTGGAATATTTGGCTTATGTTTGAGGTACTATTTGGGTAGGTTTAGCTTGAAGTTATAGTCCCTTTTGTGATTTGTCCCTCATCCTTCAACTGGTAGATTATGTTTAATTGATCTGGTGGATTATGTTTATTAGATTTAATGACGCATGGTTTCTTTTTTTCATTAACAAGACCTTTGTTCTTCTGATCTTTTGCCTCTTAGAAAAGTATTTTGTGTCACTGATATTTTTTTATCTGATTTGTATTTTTATGTTATTGCCTTTGTAGGAAGAAAGATGACAACACCTACCTTTCATTCTTTTCTGTTCTGTAGAGGTATATTCTTTTGAAGTTTTTTTTAACTCTTTTTGGCTGATAAGAATGTTCTTTTGATTTCTGTTTCTCAAGTCTCAAATCTTTTGAATTTTTTTTGTCTTACCATTATTTTTGTAAGAAGCAAGAGGAATTTATCACTGTCTGAAAAAAAAAGAAAATTTTTTTGAGTAAATAGACTCGTCAAAAAAGAACACTGGATATTCAAATACTATCTGAGTAGCAGTATGAGTTAGTAATCAAGGCGCTCATACCTAATGACCTCAATTTTTGTGATTTATCCCTTTTGAGAATTGGTGACTCCATGTTAGTGTTTCTCTCGCATTTTAGATTGTGGCCAACTATTGGTTGTTTTATAACGATTATAGAAGAATCAGGTTTTAGATTTAGAAAGGCTTTTTTTCAATAACATAATTCTACTAAATCTACTACGTTTTTTGGAGATGTGGTAAAATTATCATATCACATTGTTTGGAAACTTTCTTGTGTTGTTATAAGAAGTACGAAAAGTTTTCAGAAAATGCTGATTTATTCTTGTAAATATTTTCCTTTTTGACTTATCAGATATTACCAGAATTCTTATGTAATTCTACGTGTCCTTTTATGTAGTAGATTGCATTTGGATCCATTTGCTTAAGGTGATCCAAACCCTTTCATGTATTCACCTATGATGCAACAAAAAAAGTATTTTTGGTCCTTAATTGTTCACTTAGGTGTTTAGTGCTTAATTCCTATTGTTTTACTTCTTTTTTGCAATTTAACATATGCTATGCTAGATTTGATGGTGTAGCATAAGAATTTTAACTATATTTATTTTCTACTAAATCCCAGATGTTTATTATGGGTTGAGATATTAAGATTTATAGCATAGTACAAAGGATTTTGGAAATTGTTTTCTCAATGTGAATTTTATTTAGGCCCTTTTTTTTTAATGTTAATCTGTTTAGTGTAGATCCAAGGTTTTGTCGTCTTCATTTCCCCCCCCCCCCAATAAATTTGCTATTGCCAGCATTTTTTATTCTAAGTCTTTGTTAGATGAAGGAAGAAAAGATAAAGGAGGCTACTTTTTTTCAGTAAGCCTTGATGATATGTTTTAATGTCCTTTTTTTTTTGTGTGAACAGATTTTTTTCGTTGTAACTTGCTGTAACTTTCTGCTTTCTTTATCCTGTTATTGGTCTTTAAAAAAGTGAAGCGTGAAAATTTGAGACGGCAACCTATTTCCTCGAGATCCAAAGTTATTTTCTTTTACTTGTTTTACCTACTCCGTTTTTATTGTTTTGAGTTCTCTGTTTGAGAATCATACAACCTAATTTCTTTTTTGCAGAATTCAACTCGGACATATTATTGCTTGTACACTTGCTGTTCGGCCTGTAGTTTTGCTTGCTTCCTTTTTCTAGAGATGTTAGTCTTATTTTTGTTTTTTCAGCTTTTGGTTATTTGTCAACCTTATTGATGGGTTGCAATATTTACTTTTCTTTTCTTTTTTTTTATCAACTCAATAGTGGCAAGGAGAGTAAACTAATTTGTTTTCTTAGGTAATTTGTAGTTTGCCTTTTATTGGAACTTTATTTTGGTTGGCAATGTCAACCTAGCCAGTTACCAGTGCCACTGGTAATGAAGCTATTTTTTAATTCTTTGTAATGATGATGATCCTTAAAGGATATCAATAAATCAAATTTCTTGACTTTTTGATGGTTTATTAGAGGATGTAGTTTTATATTGCAAACTTCAATGGCATTTCTTCGTGAAGTTTTCTTATTGGATTGGATGAATATTTTGTCAATGTCATGAACTTTATTTTTTTTATTTCATTTGGTAAAATAGTAGTTGAACTCTGAAGCCATTGTTTTGTTACAAAATAAAATGGGTATATTTGATGTCCTTTTTGTAACTATTGCAAAGATTTTGATACACCTTTATGTAACTTTTTATAATTAATTTTTTAATTTGAATAACTGAATGTTTCTGGGCAAGCTTGAAAATTACACCGCGATGCGGTGTTCTCCTCCTAGTGGATCTCAATATGTGATCTTTTGTAATTGCAGCCTATGATTGCACTTTATATTAAGTATTTAGCAAGTCATCTCTTGTCTCTCTAAGACTAACTTGCACTTGAAGATGTTAAGCTATTTGTCAAACTACTTGCCAATCTTTTGTCATCTTCTCTTCTCTTTTGCAATGCTAATGATTTTTTTGTTTTGTTTAGTCTCATATTGTTAGCTGCATACTTGATTGGTAATTTATAATTTTAAGAATGCTATTTCGCAAACATTACTGTTAATCTTATTTTATATGACAATAGATTATAGGGGGCCTAGGCTGTGCTTAGCACAGCCGATAACCTCCTAGTTATCATTACTCTCTTTAGTGGGTTGCATGGAAGCAAACACAGTCGGTGGCTCACAAACGCAATTCACAGCCCAATTGCAAGCAGCAGGTCACGTGAACGGCGCATGAAGGACGACAACTTTTCAGCAAATCACCAATTGACATGTCAGCAAAAACACACACCTTCGGACAAGTTCCTAAGCACTTAGTCTACCTTAGGTTGATGAAAGATCGACCCCTCAATCGCAGGGAGTATGGTAACGGAGACGGGGTAGGGACGGTCATCAAAAGGATTGTTTCTGAACAGTTCACGATTAGGATTTGGTTCAAAAAAATTGTATAGTCTAAATCACTTCTTATACCTCGTTTTTAATAATATATGTGAAACTCATAAAAATTTGTTTTAAAATTACACGTTGTGCAAATAAAATTACACCGTATGCAAAATGCACAAAACCGCAGGGAACCGTTCGTAACGAGTGGGGAACGAGAAGGATGGGACAGTACAACAAAAGCCAAGGAGCAATCTTTCCGAAGACAGCTGATATGCCACAGCGACACTCCATAACACTTAATGCAGCTGCCTAAACATCGTTATGAAAAAATAAAGAAGATTAAACGGCTGGCATAATTTGTTAATTCTCAGAAGCATAAATCCAAATTATGCAGATTCAGTCTATTCATGCCACGTCGCCATGTATTTTTTCACTTGCAAATTATCTTTGATAAGATAGATTTTTAGTATTACTGCATTAGTTGTTTAGAAAAGTGAAATTGAATCAAGTATGTAAAAGCAAAATAGAGTCAACAAATATAAGTATATGCAGTAAAATGGTAAGTTAAACATTTACCAAAACAAAAGCAAAATAGAGTCAACAAATATAAGTATATGCAATAAAATGGTAAGTTAAACATATACTAGATGCACTAAAGTCGGACCGTTATAAAAGACTTTACTATCTATCATATGTAAAAGTGCCTTGAATGATTTCTATACCATTTATTAAAGTGCTTGGAATGATTAAAATATATTATGTACTCTTCATACATAATATATTTTCTTTTTCTCTTTGTTTTCAAAAAATATTGTAATTGGGAAAAATCAAGGTCCAGTTGCCAACATCTTCATCTCGACAATTGTTAGGCTCCGATCCCCTTCAAATGAGCTCCTTATCCATTTCTATGGTTTTTACCTTAATTTCTATTTATTTTAATTCTTTAATGATTATTTTTTTTGACTTTTTTCATATTTTGTTTTGGGTTTTTCTCCCTTTTTTGTTTTGATTAATTGTGTTGTGTTACTTGATGATAATGATTCAGTAAAGATCAGAATTTTCCTCTGAAGCAGATTTTTTTAAAATTTCCTAATGATGATTATATTGGCAATCTATAGTGTTATTCATTTAGATACGTCAAATTTTAATAGATGAATTCTAAAGAATTATTTCGTTTTTGTTGTGACAATTTTAGGTCCCATTTTACTATACTAAAGAATTATTTCTTTTTTTTTTGTAACAATTTTAGTCCCATTTTACCACAAAGAGAGGAAACTTTTAATGAAAATAAATTTGGGATGTTAAATTTAGAACATGATAAGACGGAAGTCTAATGATTCTTTTAGTGAAGGATGTACGAGAGAGATATTTTGGAGGTATTAGTCTGTGTGTGCTTATTAGTGTGAGATCAATGGAGTCTATTTTGTTAATGATTTGATGTTAATTACTATTTTGTTATAATGAATAAGTTCCATAAAAAAAGAGGATATCTTATTAGTGTAAATGGACCCTAATTTGCACATCTTATTAGTGTAAAACGATTTGTGCAGTAGCAATATACAATGTAAAAAAAAAATAAAAATTACTATAGGTCCATTTCCAGCTTGGAGTGTTAGTTATAATGCTCATGCAATTAGTCAATAGATCAGTACTGACAATGATCAATGTGCCTATAAATGGCCATGTGATATTGATTTCTCTATTATCTCACTACATTTATGCATTTGTCGTTGTTAAGCTAAATTTTGTGTTAGTACTTGCTCAAAAATTCTAAACATAAAATTCAGTTAGAAAAACACTAAGGTACAAAGAAGGTAATAATAGTTAAGGCCTCAACATTTAGCAAATAAAATTGATAACATGATATAGTAAGTTCATTCCAAGTTAATTGCATAACACAATTTAGTTAAATCTAAAAAGTTCTAGCAAACATACAAAAAAAAATATCGTCTTCAAATCTTACTAATACCACTTAAGCAATAGCGTAATTACTTGAAATTAAAAAGATGTAAGGGATTAGGTGGTAGTCAATAGACTAGGTGGGTAAAGATGGAGATTGTAGCCAACTTAAATGCAACTATTGTAGCGAGCTATGGCCAAATCTATGTATGGTTTCAATCACTTTCGGTTTGACAAGATATTTCGTGCACGTATGTATGGTTGTTCATGAAACTGGCCAGCTAATTCCAATCAATTTTGTTTTGACAAGATATTTTCATGCACGTACGTATGGTTGTTCATGAAACTAGCTCGCTAATTCCAATCTTTAAATAGAGTGTCCGGGCTTAATCACATTAGTCAAGAAGTTTAATTAAAATTACAAACATATGCTACTATTCCTCCTTTCTTTTTGAAACATTAGTTTGCTACCCCTCAACTCTTTTGATTGTTTAATTCCACTTTGTTTTTCTTTCTAATACTTTGCTATATATATATAGATATATATATATATATATATATTCATATTACTATTTCACCAAGCATATTACCCCTTATTTAGCCAAATGGGGCACATGTTACAACGCAATTGTGATTCAAATAAATAAATTATATAAGTATACATAATTATATATATATATATATATCATTTATACATGGATCCAGGTAGGATTTAGTTTAGATCTGAAATTAGATACGAATAATAAAAAATCAAACCCTATCTAAATCCATGTATGTGTGTGTGTGTAAGTAAATTGGATATAGATGCATTTGAAACTTTGAAAATGGATAGACTAGTTGATAATAATTCTTCCTTTGAGTTCATAATATTGTATTCAAATTCTTGAATGTTAATTTTATTATTTGAAAACAAAAATTGAATGGTATTTATGTTATTTTTTAATTTTATATATTTTTAAAATATTTTTACTTTAGTTATTCACTGTATATTCAGAAAAATACTCACGGATACCTATTGGATTTCTAGATCCATGAGAGCCTGAGTCTGAGTTTACTTTTTCAGATCCATAAAGGTTTCGGTCTGGATCTAACTAAATTTAATAAGTTTGGAACTAGATCAAAGGGATTTAATCCAAATTCTACCCATTTGCATGCCCAAATGCAAGGACAAGTCTATCATGATTTTCCTGATCTAACACCTAAGGAGAATAGTCCTGAATATTTTTCAATTATACTTTCATGATATTGCACATGAGTTTAAAAATAGAATGTGCATAATACCAAATGGAAAGTTAAATGAAGAGTGAAGAAGTTAATGAACATTTGGGAAGAAAAACCATACCTAAATTTTTTCAAAAGATTACAAGACTTTCTTTCAATATCTGATATTCAAGTCCGTGTCATGAAAGATGTCAATTTAAATTAACATGTTTATAATTGCCGAACTGCTGATCAAGTTAATGCAATGTGGGTTGAAGGAAATAATGCAAACATACCATTTGAGAGAGAAATGGTAGCACATTCTCATTCTGGTACTAGACACAGAGTTAGGCATTATTATGGTTGCTATGATGCACTTCGATATCCTATTCTATTTTCAAATGAAGAAATAGATTGGCATCAAAATATTCCAAAGATTGATCCTAATGCTTCAATCAAACATGATAATTCAATCTCAAATTTTCCAACATCTACGTCTCCTAATGATGTCTTTGCTAATGAAGAACTAGGTATTTCACCAATTCCGAAACATATTGCGTTTCTATATTGCTCAATGATATATTAACTAAGTATCATAAGGACCATGTAGAAGTTACCGAAGAATGCAAGAAGAAAGTCTCATCTCGATAATCTTGTACTGATTGTGATCAATGTACAACTTTGTGTACCTGAAAGATTCTAAATTTACAAAGTATGACTGTGATCAGTCCATGGATGAGCTCATGTTGCCAGATAGAACTGCATTAATCAATTTCTTAAGCCTTCTCCTACCTAATTAAACACATCTCCGTCTCAACTGTGGGATCATGTTACCATGGTTACAGTTATTTAAACAAGATTGTACTAGTTAATTTTACCACTTGCCTACATAATATTTCTAACAAGTTTAACTGAACAGAGCTTTCATATCTAATACTGACCGTCCTTTTAACTATACCATAGAAAGGATATC